GGCGCGAGACGTGACACGACGTAGTTGCTGCCAACGGCGGAGGCGCTTGCCATGGTCGTCGGCGGGCTGCAAGGTAAATTCCGAACTGCAACTCAGCACTCAGCGCGTGTCGGCGATAATCGAGGCTGCTCCGCCAATATATTCGGGCAGCAAGCCTGGCAGATGCTACGCTACCTCACGCTCCGAACGCTCTGGAATCAACGCTGTCGCAAGATGCACGCTCCCGACGATGCGCTGCCGGACCTCGCGAACGTCCGGTAGGTCACTTTGGACTACTGCGAGGCGCAACGCCAGTACCACACTCGACGTCATCACGCGCTCCGAGCTCGTGTCTTCGAGTCGCTCGTGCAGCAACACGGCGAGCACGCGGTTCTCGACCCGGTGTGCCACACGACCTCGCGTGCGGGGGTCGCGTACTTCGATGGCGCTGCTCGGAAAGACCCGCATTGCGGCGGTAGCGGCTCGCTCGTCTTTTTGACTGAACCGTCCCAAAGCGTGGTGTACCAGGCCAACTACCTTGATACCGCGACAACGAACAACGAGGCTGAGTATGACGGTTTGATCACGGCGCTACAGTTAGCACAGCGACTGGCAGTGACGCATCTCACGGTACGCGGAGACAGCATGCTGCTGATGCAGCTGGTGAAGGGCATCTTCCGGGTCCAAGAGGCTCGCTTGCAGAAGTTGCATGTCCAGGCGCGAGAGCTCGCGGCATGTTTTACGTGCACATGGGAACACCACCCTCGCGAGTTCAACCAAGCCACCGATCATTTGTCCAAGCTCGCGCCCGACGACTGTACCTCGTACGCGCATCCCGACGACGGACGGCATGACGTACTGCCGGACGATGAACTCCAGCACGTTGCAGAGCTTTTGGCCGCCGACGTTCTACACACATCCAGTACGTAAGTCTTAGTTGGTGGAGTCTTTAGTCTGTATAAAGATTTCAATCCATATCATATCATATCATCATACTGCTGGAGCTCCGTGTGCACAAGGTAAGCAAGAAACGCCGCGTAACTCGTACCCGCCGAGACGAACGCGAGAAGAGACGCTGGGCCCATCGCGGTCACATCAACCTTTTGCATGACGAGGTAGAGGTTGACGAGACAGACGAGGAGCGCAACCGCCCAGCCCGCGGCTTTGGTCGTCGTCGAGTTGACAAAGGCGCCCAGAAGACCCACGTGGCTCGTGAAATGTAAGATGGGCAGCAGCGCAAACAGCAGTTGGATCGACTGCAGCACATTGAGCATCTCGCCAATCATGAGTATTTCGCCATTCGTATTACTGCCCCACATCATCGACGTAAGTCTCAGATTATCAAGTGATGCAAAGAGACGCGTACTGTTCTCACCTGGGGATTGGTGTGGTGACTCAAGCTTGGCTAATGCAAGAGTGGTGTATTGGTAGCGTAGAATGCACCTTAGACATCGATAGAACACTAGTTTTGTAGAAGGATCGCGCGAAGAGGTGCGTCGAAGGGTCGTGGGTTGCGCAATGCAGGTCGAAGGGTCGAAAACCCAGAACACGTACCCAGGAGATTTAGTGGACTCGAGACGCATGTATGCTCGCCAATTGCGAGCAAATGCACGGCGTTCGGGACGCGGGCAACTATTGGCGCTACTACGTTGGCGTCCAGTGCTGTCGTTGGAACATCTTGTGGGTTCTGGACGCCCCTCAAACATGTATGGTCGCACAATTGCGAGCCAATATATGGCGGTCGGGATGCGGACAACTAGTGGCTCTACTACGTTGGCGTCCAGTTCGTGCATTTGATGCGCGTCAACGAGAACGCGACATAGTTGTGTGCAAGAGCACGCGGGTGGGCGACCTCCCGGCGCCGATGCAGCAAAGACGTTACCCCACTCATATCGGATAGCCCAACGTGGGGTGCCAGAAAAATGAAACGCAATCTCCGTAGCTGCCACACGTGAGCCCACAACGGTTCAAAGGCATGATCGAATTCACGTCTCTGCTCCATGCAGCGTG